TAAAATGAACATGCCAACTCGACTCTACTAGAATTTGACTCGATTATACTAAGTTTTGACTAGATTATACTAGAATTCACTCGAATATACTATAATTTGACTCAATTATACTATAATTGACTCGATCATAATAGAATTTGACTTGATTATACTAAGTTTGACTCAACTATACTAGAATTTGACTCGACTATACTAGAATTTGACTCGATTATACTAAGTTTGACTCGACTATAATAGAAATTGACTCATTTATACTAGAATTTGACTCGATTATAATAAGTTTGACTCGACTATACTAGAATTTGACTCGATTATACTAAGTTTGACTCGACTATACTAGAATTTGACTCAATTATGCTAGAATTTGATTCGATTGTACTACTTTTTACTCGACTATATTAGAATTTGAATCGATCATACTAGAATTTGAATCGATTATACTAGAATTGAATTGATCATATTAGAATTTGAATTGATTATACTATAATTGAATATATCATACTAGAAATGACTCGACTATACTAGAATTGACTCGATCATACTACAATTGACTCGATTGTGCTAAGTTTGACTCAATTATACTAAGTTTGACTCAGTTATATATACTTGGTAAAATGAATGTGTTACTTTGTAAAATGAATAAGTGTCTTGGTAAAATGAACATGTTCCTTTGTAAAATGAATACGTAGAATTGAATTGATCATATTAGAATTTGAATCGATTATACTATAATTGAATAGATCATACTAGAAATGACTCGATTATACTAAGTTTGACTCGACTATACTTGAATTGACTCGATTATACTAAGTTTGACTCGACTATACTAGAATTTGACTCAATTATACTAAGTTTGACTCGATTATAGTCGAGTCAATTCAAGTATAGTCGAGTCAAATTTAGTATAATCGAGTAAATTCTAGTATGATCGAGTAAATTCTAGTATAATCGAGTCAAATTAGTATAATCGAGTCAAATTATAGTATAATCGATTCAAATTCTAATATGATCAATTCAATTCTACGTATTCATTTTACCAAGAAACGTATTCATTTTACAAATGAACATGTTCATTTTACCAAGACACTTATTCATTTTACAAAGTAACATATTCAAAAGAACATGTTCATTTTACCAAGACACTTATTCATTTTACAAAGTAACATATTCATTTTACCAAGTATAACTGAGTCAAACTTAGTATAATTGAGTCAAACTTAGCACAATCGAGTCTATTGTAGTATGGTCGAGCCAATTCTAGTATAGTCGAGTCATTTCTAGTATGATATATTCAATTATAGTATAATCGATTCAAATTCTAATATGATCAATTCAATTCTAGTATAATCGATTCAAATTATAGTATGATCGATTCAAAATCTAGTATAGTCGAGTAAAAAGTAGTATAATCGAGTCAAATTCTAGCATAATTGAG